CAGCAGTGCAGGAAGCGGGAGCGTTTCCTGGTCGGGTCGGGCCCCAGCAATAGCCCTTCTCCCGGGCGAGTATTGCACCAGCCCCAGGCGGGACGCATTTGTGCACGGAGGTCGCCTGCGTGATCGCCTGCTGTGCAATGTGTGCCGCGCTCCGTGCTGGGCCTGGGACGCGCGGTCCCAGCTCTTGGGCCCGCGGGTCGGGAAAACCAAGTGGACGCCAGCTGCGGGGGGGCTGGCGGGCGCACACGCCACCCGTCCTGGGGCCGGGAAGGCTTCTGGGGCTCGAGGACCAGCGCTAACCAGCCGGGGAGAGCGGGAGCGGGAGAACCCGCAGCCGACGCGGGGACAGCGTTTGCAGCAGGGGAGGGTCCCGGGGTGAAAGATCGCGGCGGGTCGCGAGGGTCCCGTAGCCCGATGGGGATCTGGGGGTCGAGATTTGTACTGTAGAGAAGGAGGGGTTGTAACGGAGGTGAGCAGACCAGGGGGGCCTCCGACCCACTGGGGAAGGACCCCGCTTCCCATGTGTAGCGTGGATGGCTGCAGAGACCGGTGCAAGCTTGTCAGTTCGGTGCCTGGCTGTTGCCTGGTCTCTGTGTTGTGATGGTAGGCTCTGTGGGTGGGGGGCTGGACGTGATGGGAACCCCCAAGGGAAAGCCAGACAGAGGGTCATGCTTGCTGCGGGGGGTCCCAGCGGGTGGGGGGAAGTGCGGGGGTGTAGTGGGCAGCAGCACAGATAATTTCCTCTGTAGAGCCATAGTGGTCAATGACAAGGCCCAGGGCCAGGGCAGTAAGTACAGCCAGACGGAGCACAAGGCCACAGGAAAGGGTAGGCAGAGGCTCTGGGTGGCTGGGAGGGGGCTGGGCCTGGAGACTGGGGGCCTGAGCCTCTGGACCTCGTTAATGGTGGAGGGCAGCAGGAGTGGGCAGGTGCCAGGAGCCGGGTCTTACCAGAGGGAGGTGGGGTGGCTTAGAGTGGCCCCCGAACATGGAGGAGCGCCTCTTCCAAGCTCTCTCTCTGATGAACTGTCATTTGGTTTTCAAAAGCCACGTAGTCCCAGCTTTCCCCTAAAGGGGTGGGGTGCAGGGGCCCTCTGAGCCAGGCTAACTGGGGCTCTAGTAGATCCTCTCATTGGAAGCCAGGGCAGCTTCTGGAGGTGGCACGCAGGGGCTCGGGTTGGTGACGCTGCCACAAAGGAGGCCAGGGGTGGACTGGCTTTGATCCGAAGGCTTTGATCCAAAGGCTCAGCAGTGAGCTGTCCTTCAGTTTGGGGGATCCACGCCTGGAGGGGCTGGTGGGTGGCGGAAGCCACAGGGCCTCCCCCTGGCAGAGGTGAGCAGAACCAGAGGCCACAGGAACCCCAAGCCCTCTGGGCTGGGGCCTGGCAGATGCCTGGTCATCAGGGCCTCAAGCGATGACACCCAAAGGCCTGAGGGGTGGAGCCCACCTTCAGGGCTGGGACCTGAAGGGAGATAAAGGCTGCATTGTTCGGGCAGGGCTCTGTAAATGGGGCCTTGGAGAGGGATTTCGGCTGCAGCTGCAGCCCTGGTTGCTGTGCTTTTGGAGATGGGAGGAG